CTCCTGGAAATGTAAGAAACAATAGACAGTTTCTAAGTCATCTACAGAAGCTGAATATAGGGCTATGTCATCGGTATGTAGTGAGATTGTTTGGTTTCAATCTCTTCTTGCTGATCTTGGTGTTCACCTCTCCACGCTTATTCCTCTCTATGCTAGCAACACTAGTGCTATCAAGATTGCATCTAATCCAGTGTTTCATGAGAGAACCAAACACATTGAGGTGGACTGTCACTTCATTAGGGATCTTTTTCTTGCTGGCTCTATTTCCCTTCCTCATATAGCTTCTGACTTACAGATTGCTGACATTCTCACGAAGCTTATGACGAGATTGAGACATCTATTTCTTGTGGGCATCTCAGCATCAGTTTGAGGGGGAGTGTAGAGATACTTGATGTAATGTTGTTCTATGATCCCTTTTGTACCATAACATTTCTTTTTCTTTCTTACCTTTCATCCCTCCAAGGGCCTCTTTGTAATTATTCTTTCTTACCTTTCATCCCTTCAAGGGCCTCTTTGTAAATACTTATAACTAATAAGATATATAGGCTCTTTGGGGGTGGGCATCGATTGTTCTGTTTGACACCCTTGAAACTTTTGGTGTTCTCTCAACCTAGAAGATTGGCAAATAATTGGTCTCCTCCAATAGACGGTTGGAAGAAGCTAAACTTTGACGGGAGCTACGTGGGGAATCTGGGCCCATCAGGCATAGGAGGGGTTATTAGGGATGAAGATGAGAATATCTTTGCTCTCTACTCCGGTCCAGTGGGAACTGGGAAGGGTGATGTGGTGAGATCTGTTTTCTTGGTGCTGAGATGGTGTGATTCCAGAACAGAGAGAAGAGAAGAAGGAGAAGGGAGAAGAGAGAAAAGAGACAAAATTGAAAGAGGCAAAAGTTAACTGGCGGCACCAGTTTATTTTGGTATATATACTAGGGCGACCATACATAAAAAATAAAGGAGAAAATTACAAAGGTGCCCTTGCGACACTAAACTTAAAATAAAACTAAGTTATTTCAACACTCTCCCTCAAGTTGGGACGTAGATATCAATCATGCCCAACTTGTCACATAAATCATCGTGCTGCGAGTGATGTAAGCCTTTTGTAAATATATCTGCCAGTTGCTCTTTGGAACTCACATATGGGGTGCACACTTCCCCATTAACAAATTTCTCTCTAATGAAGTGTTTGTCAACCTCTATATGCTTAGTTCTATCATGAAGAACTGGGTTGGCTGCAATATTGATGGCAGCCTTGATATCACAATACAAGGACATAGGGCCATCAACAGGAAAACCTAGTTCGCTCAACAGATTCTTTATCCACATGCCTTCAGCCACCCCATGGGACATTGCTCTATTTTCAGCTTCAACACTAGACCTAGCCACCACATTTTGTTTCTTGCTTCTCCATGTGACTAGGTTTCCTCCCACAAAGGAACAATACCCACTAGTAGACTTTCTGTTATCAACTGATCCAGCCCAATCAGCATCTGTATATACTTCAATCTTCAAATGACCATTCTTTTGGTATAACAAACCAGCTCCAGGAAACCTCTTTAGGTATCTGACTATTCTTTCTGCTGCCTCTAAGTGTGTGGTCTTAGGAGCATGCATGAACTGACTAAGAACACCTACTGCATAAGCAATGTCTGGCCTGGTCATGGATAAATACAAGATCCTTCCCACAAGTCTCTGGAATTGTTTTACATCTTTGACAACTTCACCACAACAGTCACCTAGTCTGTGATCAATGGGAGAGTCGGTTGGCTTAACCCCTAGTTTTCCTGTATCCTATAACAGATCTAGGATGTATTTCCTCTGAGAAATGAAGATCCCCTTTTGAGAGCAGGCCACTTCAATTCCAAGGAAATATCAAAGGGGACATAGATCCTTCACCTCAAATTTAGTGGCTAAAAAATCTTCTAGTCTGAATTTCAGCCTTCCAGTCACCTGTGATCACTATGTCATCAACATACACTATCAAGGCTGCAATCTTTCCTTCCCCTCTTTTCACAAATATAGTACGGTTAGTCTGACATTGTTTGTAGCCAATCTGCTGTATAGCCAGATGAAACTTGCTGAACCTGGCTCTCGGTGATTGCTTCAAACCATACAAAGACTTCTTTAGTCTGCACACTTTCTGCTCTTTGCCTAGGGCACTAAAGCCAGGAGGTTGAACCATGTATACACCTCTTCCTCAAGGTCTCCATTCAGAAAGGCGTTTCTAAAGCTGGGTTTCACAACTTCTTGTTGTATCTATATTTCTTCTAATTAATGAAATCTTTTCTGTTGCTGATCAGAAAAAAAGATAGAACACAGAAGCAATGGCTAGTCAACCAAACCACAGCCAAACAGGTGAACCCATTGAAGCACCAACCACTGTGAGAGGAATGGATGAAGCAACCCCAGCACAATCTGAGGAAGAAAAAAGAGAAGCCATCAGTTTGAAGAAATGGGCAATGGCTCCAGGGGAGCGGGAGAATAGAGAAGGGGAGATGATATTTGAGTAAAGTAGTTTTGGAAATTGTTTGATTCTGGATAATTGGTTTTGGGTCTGCAGATGATATGAATCTTCCTGTAACTGGTTCTAGTATCCAAAAACACTGTATGCCTTTGGGCGCCATTAATTCTGTATCGTGTTGGTGGTGTATTTTAACCTGGGTTGTGTTCTTACAGCTGAGCTATAAATGGTTGATTGTTAACAGTTTTTGATCAATAAAGCAACCTAGATGGCATGGTGTTACCATGTTTGGCATGGCATTTATACATCAGCCACACTAATTGATTTATCTTGGGACCCAGGCTGGTTATTTCTAGAAATACCCTAACAGTTTTTGATCAATAAAGATGAGTAATGAGTCAATGAGACACAGTTGCCTTTTATATTCATGGTTAATACAAATTAAGTTGACTTTTAATTCCCTAACAATTTTAATTCCCTAACAGTTGAGAAAGCAAAAGGTTCTAATCTCAAGGGTGGTGGGTAGGGCCTACCACATAGGGCTTTACTCCGAGAGTCCTTTTGGCAAGTACAATAATGACTGTGATGTGCTGCAATATGAGAAAAGGAAAGGACAGAACTGTCATTAAAGAAAAAATAGAAAAGAAAAAGTGGAGCTTCCCGAAGCCCCAAGAGGAAGAAGACCCAGAAAAAGGAATCCCACCCCCTATTTCCTGCCTTGTATAAAATAAACAGCGACGTGGCAACTTCGCAGCTCAGGTGGTTTCAAAATCTCACACGTGTTGCCTGTCATATTCTTTTTTTTTTTTGTTCAGCAACATAGAAAATATTCATTAAATTAAAAGAATATGTACAACAAGAAGTTGTGGGTAGACAAAAGTCCACATAAATCCCACTAATTACAATACAGACTGAAGCTTAACCCAACAAAGAAATTCATTAGTTACAGACAAGCCCCAAAGGACCCAAAGGATATTCACTAGCTATCGTATAGCCCAGAGCATAGATTGCCTTTGTACTCCTTGCTTAGCTAGACCATCAGCTACGATATTAGCTGATCTCCTAATCCATCTTATGTGAATTTCCTTATCTTTAGAAGCCTACTTAAAGCGCCTGAACTCATTTCTTAATCTCCAGATTGCTCCTTCCTCTTTTTTCATCGAGTTTACAACAACTTTTGAGTCCCCTTCAATAATCAACCTGTTAATCCCCAACTCTTTCAGCTTTCTCAACACCAATACTTCTCCCTTCAGTTCTGAATTCACCACATCACCATGCTGGATAGGGCTTGAGAACATGGCAATGATATTTCCATTGTCTCTCTTATTACTCCACCAATGCCTGATGGGCCAGGGTTTTCCAAACAGCTACCATCAAAGTTTAGTTTCTTCCACCCAACATTTGGAGGGGACCAAAATTCAGTTACAATAGGTCTTCTAGAAGAAATGTTTGCAATTGTTCCCCATGATTTGAAGAAATCTTGTCTTAAAATCTGCAAATATTTTCAAAGCTTTCACCCAATGTGCCATCCTTGTAGCTATCACTTCAATCACAGCATCTCTACCTCTTTCCTTTTCATCAAATATCCTCAGGTTTCTTTCCTCCTAGATTATCCAAGCCACTACTGCTCTAGTGCATTTTCCCATCACTTTGCCTCTCCTTTTAGAGCACCTGAATATGTTGGAGCTAAAAAGATCTTCCAGATTAGCAGGAGGATTCCAGCTGCAACCAAACAGAGAGGAAAACCATTTCCAAACAAAGTTAGCAAAAGGACAGGAGATAAAGAGGTGAAAAGCAGTCTCACCATTCAGCTTACATAAGGAGCGCCAGTTTGGGGACAAGCACCACTTTGGTCTTTTTCTCTGAAGCAAGTCACTGGTGTTGATGGAACCATGGAAAACTTTCCAACAAAAAGCACTGACTTTAGGAGGGATGGGCCGAGGCCAAATCTCCTTAACAGGGAAAGGAGAGGAGGAAGTGACAACAAGAGACGTGCTACCTGTCATATTCATGTGCCCGAATAGTGGCATGATTGTAAAAGGTGGTTACTGTGCATTTCTGTTGAATGGTGGCATGATTGTAAATAATGGGAACTTTAACAACAATTATAAAAGCAGTTGATTTGTGATTTTATTTCTTGCATGCTTAGGCCTTGACCATACATCATTTCATTTTAATAGATATAATGTAGATGTGGCACCCAACTTCATTCAAATATGCACCTTGCTTTGTGCCTTGTGCATCAGGCTCTAGGAACTCCTTGTGCTTTAGTTGTGTTTCTTACTTTTGCCACACTGGTTACATACAGACCTTTACTGATCATTGCAGTGTTTGGTAATAAGTTATTTTATCATATTGCAACTTGTTTAGCCTGCATGTGCTTGGACTTGGGTGTAGATGTAATGTAACACTGTTGGTTGGCCCATTAAAAGCATCTGTTTATTGATATGACTTAAGTTTATACAATTGAGATATAAATAAAGTTATTTGAGATGATAGGTTTCACTGGACCTTATGGAATCTGAATTCTTGCTAACTAGCTATTGGAGCATTTAGCCTTGTTGAAATGCTGTTCAACTCAAGCCTTCTTGCCATAGTTGGAGCAGGAGAGCAGGTAGAATGTTATATTATTATTTGTACATATGCTGTTACAGATGAGATCAAGTTATTTTCATATTCCATAATGTACATTACTCTCTTAAGCTCTCATACAGATTGGTTAGTTCATTAATATTCCTCAATCTGATTGCAACAGCCATCACTATCACCACGTCGGCTTTGTCTTTTCAACACTGTAACTGGCGCTGCACTTAGAGAACTAAACTTTTTGACCTCAATTGTTGCTGTTCGCATGAGTAGGAAAAGGTAAAGTATCTAGTGCTAAACATTACAAATTATGTTGCCCTTTATCCAATTACAAACTTCTTTAAGTTGTTTATGCTACAGACCTTATACCAGACTATAGCAAGATGTGGTTAAATGCATTAAATTTTTACCAGTATGAACAATGACTTTGGTTTGCTCCCTGGCAAGATGGATTAAGTAGTGCAACTTCTGATTACCAAAAAGAAAAGTAGTGCAACACTTCAACTTCTGTCATAAATCCTGCTTTCTAGATTATGCATCTTAAGTACCAAGAGTCCTGTTCTCTTAATTGTTCATTATAAACACCAAGGTTCATACACACAGTATCCTATATGGATACTTTGGTCCATTTAGGATAGTCCATGCTACACTTCTTGTAAGCAATGTTATCTGTTACCCACCTTTTTTTTCCTAACGTACTATGGTAAGGCCTGATGATCTCATGACGGTGTTCTAGCTGGTTATGGGGAGGGTTCATTTGGATTTTTGTTGCATTTTTTTATTAACTTTATTGAGCACTATTCTGACCTGAATGATTTTCCTCCTTTATCAAGGCTAGAAGCAAGAGCTGGTTGTTCAGTTGGCTGAGAATGGACTTTACTTCCCATCTCCTTTTGTCTTAGTTCTTCATTTCTGATTAGGTAAAAGTGTAAAACACATGATGCAAGTCTAGCAATCTTTAGTGTCATTGATTGGAGAATCCAAGACATCACTGTGGCATACTTTCTATACTAAGTCTTCTGGTTGATCTGCCTTATTGTCAACAACTTAGCCGTTGGTGTGTTATGTACCCTTGCATACCTCTACTGATAATGGCTACCTTGGCTGAAATAGCCCATTCGGCATAGTTGAATTCATCCAGCTGAATGTTGGTAATCTGAAATGTAGGACTGTCAAAAATGGAAGTGTTTCCCATGACCTGGTTTCTTTTGATGAGATCTCACTGGTGGTAGACATTCTAACAGAAGGTATTATCTTCTCAATCAGCAATACAGCAGCAAAACACAACAAGGAAGACTCTTGTTCATCTTCTGGAAAGTCAAAAAACAGACCCACAATAAACTGCTGGCAACAACCCTAGGAGTGTCCACAAGATTCTGGAAAGAAGATTGCACCAATGATTTAAAAGGCGCGCCTAGGTGCACAGGCGAGGCGCATTTCAGGGTATGCGCCTCGCCTAGGTCCTAGGCACAGCTCTTTCAAAAGGCGCACGCCTGGTGCGCCTAGGCGTGCGCATGATGCGCCTTGCGCCTCAGCCCAGGTGTGCGCCTTTTGAAAATTTGACGCCTTTTTGCTTTTTCTGAACGTAGCGGCTGGGCTTGGGCCTCCGCCCCCAGACCCCCATGCCATGCCCCTCGAGGCAAGCCCAAACAAGTCCACGTTAGGTCTTAAATTCTTAGTTTTCACACAAAAAATAATGATTTTATAGCTTTAATTGTTTTTTAAGAAGATATTTTATTAGGATGAATGAATGAGCAACAAAACCCCAATTTGGTAATGTTGCTCATTCATTCATTCTAATAAAATGTTTTCTTAAAAAGCAATTAAAACTATAAAATCATTATTTTTTGTGTGAAAACTAAGAATTTAAACCTAACATGGACTTGTTTGGCTTGCCTTGAGGGGCGTGGCACAAAGGCAGCTCGTAGAATCAGGAATGTAATATGTTTTACATTACATTAGCTAYKTGAAGTAMTGCAATTGAGTGAAAAAAGAGATTAGAGGTTTTACATGCTTGAAAATGTTTTATATGTTTGATTTTGTTTTTAAATTCTCATTTGAATATGCTTTACTTCTTATGTTTTGTAGTTTAATTTTAGATAATAGGTTTTTTGAAACAGTTATTTTAAAATTTAAGTTTATATTTTTTATTAATATTATGTTTAATATTTTTTGATTTTTTTGGCATTTTTTTGAATTTCCTGACATTTTTTTGATTTTTTAGCATTTTTTTTGTATTTTTGCGCCTTGCTTCAAAAAGGCACGTGCCTTGCATGTCAGGCACAAATTGATCCCTGCGCCTTGCGCTTTTAAAACACTGGATTGCACACACCCTCTTCCAATCCCAAATAGACAGAATGATTAAAACAATAAGCTCCTGAATGAACTACAGCTCCCTGTGAACTGTCATCAGTCTTGTTCTTCGTTGCCGCAAAACCCTAGACCTGAACTCAGTTCTCACTAGCAGTCCGTGCACTGCTTCTTTCCTTACCCTAATAGGGAATAAAAAGTTCTTAGGGTTTCCTTGGTCTCTTTTCCAAGGATATACCTAGAGGTCCTTTAGAAACCAACAAAGAGATTAGGGTTTCAGTTCACCTGGGTTAGAAAGGGAAGAAAAAAGAATAAAGAACACCAAGAGATCAGAGATCAAGAGAAGGTTTGAATCTTCAAAGAAACTCCTAATGCTCTGATACCATGAAGTACATTGAGCAAAGAAGGTAGAAGAAAGAAGAATAGAACTGTAGGGAGTTTGACAATGGTGCAGAAGCTTCTTTTCTGTCCAGCCCAGATTTGTATTTATATTGGATTAATAAATAAAGAAGGAAACTACAAAAGAGCCCTTAACTAGGTGGGCTGAGAAGTAAAGAGGATACAGGGATATGTGGCCCAGGCCCAATACAGAAATAAAACCTGTATTTTATCCCACACCAACTTTATGTCTCACAACATCTTTATTAAATGTGATAAAAGAATATTTTATGTACAAGGAGTAGGCCATCTTAGGCTAGTTTTTACTACCTAACCCCACCCAATTACAACTGAAAATTACATTACAATCTTTGATTGTTGCCCCCACAGAACATTTCCCTGTCAGCTCCTTGCGTTGCAAGTGAATCAGCTAAAGGGATTGGTCTCTCAAATCCCTCACCAAGCTGTGGATCTCTCTTAACTTGTTTCTGTATTGCCAAATGGCTTGGCTGCTATTTCTTAACCATCAAATCACCATCTATTAGTGTCCTTCCACTACTATATTCCTGAAACCTAACCTTTTACTCAACATTAGGTCTTCTTGAACTGCCACCAGCTTCGCTCACAGAGAGTCCATAGCCTATAGGGCTTGCATATAAAGCCATCACCATCCCAAAGCCATCTCTAACCACACCTGGAAAACCCAAAATGCCTGGATTGCCCAATGAACACCCATCAAAATTGAGTTTCACTTGGTTTGCCTCTGGAGCAATCCATTTCCTAGGCAATCTAGTTCTAGCCATGGAAGAATGTGCCACAAGGCCCACAACCTGCCATCCTCTGATTTTTTTTTTCTATGATACTCTCCGTTTAGAGTGATTTTTCTCCTTACAGATTCTAACATTTTTTTCCTCCCAACCACTCCAAATAATAGCATCCCTGCATCTTACCCCTTTTCCTAGCTGGATTGAAAAATGATGTCAAAAATAACCCCCTCATATTATTAGGAGGGGACCACTTACCACCAAAGAGATTAAGAAATAGGAGATTAGTATATGGGAGGGTGGATTCTCCACTTGCATTGCAAAGAAAGATTTTATGAGGGGAGAGAAACTAGTTAGGAATCCTCTTTTACAATAACCTTTGCGATCCTATTTGGCGGATTGCATCAGGTTGATGATAAATATAACACGCAAAAGTTCAAAATTTCACAACGTATCGGCCCGTATCAGCCGATACGTATTGTTCCACTAAAGTCCTGATACATGGAACGTATAGAAACCAATTTGTTAATTTCTCTCCCTCATTAATATTTCTTTTATTGTTAATGCTTCTCATTAATTACTTCCTCTCTATCTCTTTTGTTGTTAAAATTTTATCCATTTTAATCCTTAAACAAACATTTTGTTTTAATGGATGTTTATTGGGGTAATTGTGGGTCTAGTCAAGCCTAAGTCTTATATATATAAAATATTACATATATAATATTTTATTTAAATAACATATAATATGAATATAATTTTTTGATACATTATATAATATATATGTTAAATATTATATATATTATAAGTGCTATATTATATAATATTTATATACAAATTACATATATTTAAATATATGAATTGGGCTAAGCCTAAACAAAAACCCAAGCCCAAACTTGGAATTTCAGAATTGGGCTGGGTCTAGATGATCACCCATGCTAAAATTGATTATTAAAATGTATATATTAACAAATATTAAGGCATTTTTTTGATTTTCTGAAAATCAAGATAAGATATATATGTACACATTTTAGTTTTTCTGTCAGTTTTCAACCGTTACCGATTGCGTCCTGATCTATTACAAAATTAATGTAAACCATTAAAGTGTATATGGTCATATATACCTTGTTCTTATTGTTATTAATATATATTTTATGATTTATTTGAGTTTCATAGCATATCCATGCGTATCTTGGTTTTTCATCCATATCCATGCGTATCCAAAGCGTATCTTGATGTCTCATAAAATTGTCTTTCTGATACACTTTGCGTTTCCGATACTTAAAACCTTGATAACATTAGGGTGCAAATGGATCGGATCATGATCCGATCTGATCCTATTTGGTTGAATTCGGATCACCCCTGTTTGGATCTTTGGATCAGATAATAGGATTTGATAAAAGATCGGATCAGATTCGGATCACCCCTATCTGATCCGATATATAATATATTTATAAATATATATATATGTTATTTATAAATATATTTTTATAAATTTGTTATATTATTTATTTTTTTATAAAAAAACATGTATATATATTATAAAAATAATAAAAAAATACTTGTATTTTTTGTTTCTACTTTATTTAAATTAGTATATTTTATTTTTCTTTTAATAATTTATTAATTTTTAAAGAAAACAACTTGGATTGGATCAGATCTAAAGATCTGACTTACCGATAGGATTTGAATTCAAATCGAGTCCTATCAGATCCGATCGGATCTTTGGATTGGATCTGATTCGAATATACCCTGATTCGAATCCGATCTGATCCGTTTGCATCCCTAGATAACATGTTTCCCATATCCTTTACTTGAGTCCTATTCCAATGTTTTAAATGGCACAACATGGTTTATGTGGTTGATGCCATTTGATCTGAATAAGGCCTCATTTATTGATTTCATGTTTGTCGATGTGCACTTCTTCTTGGTCCTTAAGCATCGGGAATTGGTATTTTTTTTTTATTGGTGTTAGGCAATGTTGAACCCATTGCCTCAATTGTATAGCACACTTTTGATGATAACTTGAGCAATGAGATCAGTTCCTGGGATATTTTGTTTAAGTTTCTTCTATTTTATTGATGTTTTCCATGATTTGCATGCAGGCTTGTTGTTATATTGCAAGATAAGGCATACATATATGACTTGAACAGTCTTGCAATCTTGGACACATTTGATATAGTGCCAAATATAAAAGGTGAGTTCACAAACCATTTTATTTTCATTTTCTATTGCTCTGTCTTTCTGATCAATTACAAAAAAGAAAAAAGTGGCACTGGTCTCGCGAGTTTGTTGTTGTTGTTGTTGTTGTTGTTAAGGTATTGTATTAAACTGCAAAAAGAAAGAAGATATACAATCAGCCCAATTCCTGTACAATGAGAAACTGTACTAAGGAAATCCCAGAAACTCAAAAGCACAACAATTGAGCCAGCAGGCATTTACAGACAAAACTATCCAAAAATAAACTCTTTGTTGAAAAAAGAAACTGTATGTCTAGATTTGAAAAGTGAGTGATTAGCCGACCACGAATACAGCATGCCCGTAATATTTTTAAGAACTTCCTCCTTTGAAATTTGATGCCCTTCGAAGATTCTCTGATTCCTTTCACGCCAAAATGCCCAGAACACAGCTGCAGGAACAGTGTTCCAAGCAATTCTTCCAGCCTCACCTAGACCCTTTAGCCACCAAGCAAGCAAAAAACTCTTCACATCAGATGGAAAACACACCTTCACCCTAAACAATTCCAGAATTTCCCCCCAAATCCAGTGGGTGAGTTCACAGTGGATCAGAAGGTGATTAGAGGCTTCTGTGCTTTTATTGCACAGAGCACACCTTTCATCCTGCACTTGAATGCCCCTTCTAACTAGGTTTTCTCTAGTCTGAATTCTGTCCAATACCGCTGACCTTACCAAAAAAGACATTTTTGAAGGGACATTCCTTATCCAGATCTTCTTGTCTGGGAAAACAGAAAACTCCTCCCTTGTCAGGCTGTTATAGAAGGATTTGACAGAGAAAATTCCTGAGTTTTCGAACCTCCATTTTCTTTTGTCCACCAAAGCTCCATTCAATCTGACATTGTATAAAGTCTGCAGCAAACTTAGGAGTGAGTTTACCTCCCAATCATTCAGATTTCTATGCAGTTGAGGATTCCACACACGGGCTCCATTCTGCATTTCCAAATAATCTGCCACTTTTGCATTCTTGTCCACTGCTATCTCGAAAAGATCAGAATATCTGTCCATGAGAGGGCCATCTTCACACTAAAAATCCTTCCAGAAGAGAATTCTTTGGCCATTCCCAACCTCGTATTTTGTTCCTTGTAAGAATTGTGATTCAATTTTTTGAATTGCCTTCCAGATTGAGCAACCATATGAGGATCTAGAGTTTCCAGTCTCCCAATCTCTTGTTGCAGGCCCATACTTGGCTACGAGCCTCCTCCACAAACTGTTTGGCTGATCATTAAACCTCCAAAGTCATTTCCTAGCATTGCAGTGTTGACTTCCTTTAATTTTCTAATGCTCAGACCGACATTTTTGGGTCTGCAGACTGATTTCCGCTTCACCAGGTGACATTTGTTTTCATCCTTCCACCCTCTCCACAGGAAATCCCTCAGCTTTTTCTCCAAGAGAGTAGCAGTTTTCGCCGGGGAGATCTGTCAATACACACTGATTTTCTTATTGTGATGTTTTCTTTTTTGGGTGTGTCTTGTTTTTCTGTGGTGCATAGATGCATAGAGATCTCTTTTGAATTTATGGCCTCTATTACTTCCTCCACAGATCCAAGGTTCAAAGTATTGACACGTATTGGCCCATATTGGCCGATATGTATCGTTTCGGGAGCTCCCTGATACGCCCCTACAGAGGGTGTATCGGGGTTCTGACTGGTTCAGGGGGTGGAGGAGCCTTAAACCGTCCCCCTGAACCAGATTTGAAAAAAAATAAAAAAAAGGTAAGAAAACACCATTGATATCGCCTGATACGCCCCTACCGGCGTATTGGGCGTATCGATATTTAGAACCTTGCACAGATCTACTCATTTCATTGAATATTCTGTTCTCTTCCCAAACCACCCAAACAACTTCTGCCTTAGTTGCTTTCCACATTAATCTCCCCCTTTTCTTTAGTTGCCTCAGGAAATTTGGGTTGAAAATGTCCACCACCTCTTGAGGAGGGACCCACATGTAGCCAAAAAGAGAACAAAAAGACTCCCAAATACAGGAAACAAGGGAACAGGAGATTAATAAATGGGATAAGGATTCTCCACTATCCCTACAAAGGAAGCACAAATGAGGAGAAAGGAAATGAAAGGGCCTTCTTTTCAGCAGCATATCACAAGTATAACATTTCCAAGCAGAAAGCCTGAATTTCTGGTGGGATAGGCTTATTCCAAATTTCTTTTATCGTGAAGTCCACCCCTTGGGTACTAGGTAGGATTAAAAGCTTGAAAAAATAAGGAACAAGTGAAGAGTTCATCAGGAGAACCAAACCAAATTCTAGAGTCTTCTAAGGATGGGCCCAGAAAAGTTGTTATTCCTACTGCTTTTTGAGCGGTGGATTCTTCATTAATGAAATTTACTGTTGCTTATAAAAACATTCTTCATTAATGAAATTTACTGTTGCTTATAAAAAAACATATTGACAAACATCATTTGATAAGTCTTTGTTTTCTGCCTAAAAACATGGGAGAAAGATTTTTGCAATTTATTTGTTCACCAGAGTGGTGGAAATCTTCTGGTTATATTTCCTTGGATTGTTTAGAATATCAAACTTCAATCCTTCTTAGCCATATGAAAGATTGTCAAGATAATCTTTATTTGCCAAAGGAAAGAATGTTTGGAACATTATTCCATTCACTACTTGTTCGGCCATTTGAAAAGGAAGAAATAAGTGTAATTCTAATGAAAGCATCAGCCTATAAGGAGAATTGTAGTTGACATTTCTATTGGAGTGGTTTTTGTGTAGTCAATGTTCAGGAATGTTGTTAGAGGAGCCTTGAATTCTAACTTCTGGTCTACTTTGGATATTGTTCTTGAGGATGTATAATTGTTGGTCTTGAGTCATCATGTTTTGTAGCTATTGGATTCTCATGAGTGGTGGCACCTTGTTACATATCATATGTAATATTTTTAGTTTAATAATATTTACCTTGTGAAAAAAAAAAAGATTCCTGTCCCTCCATTGCAATGCTTCAAGAGCCATGTTTTTGTCACTTGTTCTTTTAGAGCCTTCTACTTGCACCAAGTCACTCCACTTGTGAAGTCATTAGTCATCTATACATATGATCAAACCATCTCAATTGACATTTCTTCCTCTTATCACCTATTACTACACATTTCTAATAAAATCACTAAGAAAAACCAGAAACAGAATATATTTTCCAAGCATCCTATTGGAATATTTTCTTTGGCATCAACAAGGTCTAGGTCCCAAAAGAGATAGCTGGACCTATCCAGCCCAGATGGGCCTGGGTGGTTATCCTGCATGAAGAGGCATGTTTCCATGGAACTTAATCCCCTTCTATGGCTCCACTGAAGCTCCTACTTCAGAAGTTTACTGTCAATTAGTGTTAGCATATAATATTTCACACTCGTGGTGTCAGTCAAGTGGAAATAACTTAGTTCATTAGCTGGTCTTTTAAGGGCCATTGCTTGGTATAATTGCAAAATTTTGGGCTGATAAGCATGAAAATGTGATTTAACTCTCTGAGAAACAAAACAAAATATTTCTTTGCAACTCTGATGTTTCATTTATTGTTCAGACAATACTTTGTTTTCTGGAAAAAATTATCTTCACAAGCATTCTAATCTTGTGTTTAGTTGCTCTCCCATTCTTTTTTATTTTCTGCATTTGAAGTTAAAACTAGAAAATCTTCAGCAGATGTTAAATTAATTTATTTTGTTTTGTTTTGTTTTTTCTTTTTTGTATTAGGACTTTGTGCATTCTCCCCTAGTTTGGATGGCTGCTATTTGGCACTTCCAGCAAGTACAACCAAAGGATCTGTGTTGGTTTACAATGTAATGGAACTCCATTCACACTGTGAGGTTGGTATCCTGGAATACCTGAATACTTCAACCTTTCTAACAATGGCATCATACCATACTGATACTGGCAGATATTGCATGGCTACTAGGAAAAACGTAGGCAATTTTAGATCCCTGTCTCCTAGGCAATATGCTAATATCCAGGGTGGGCACTGGGCAGTATACCCAAAGTCATTCACACATTATCAAGTACAGAATGCATATTGGTAGGGTCCTAGGGACTACTCTTCGGTGCAATGATAAAATCTTGGGCTGACAAGCATGAGAATAAATGTTCTTGTCTGAGAGAAGCCACTTTGTGCCAAAAGTTTCTGCCCCTCCCTAGGTCCTGGATATCCAGGACTATCATTGTGTAATGGCCCTTTTTATATAATCTTACTGGTCACTCGGTAATGCATCATATGCATGCCCTTATTTTGTTATATAACTTAAAATGGAAGGAAGTGGCTAGTTCTGATTGCCACGATTTTAATATAATCCCTGCTTGGTCTCCTCCAATGTTTGACTACATCAAGTTGAACTTTGATGGGAGTAGTGATGGGAATCCAGGCCCATCTGGTATTGGAAAGTGTTTAGGGACAGTGAAGGCAAGATCATTGGCCTATATTCAGGCCTGATTGGAATAGGTGACTCCCTAAGGGCTGCGGTTATGGCGGTTATGGAAGGATTGCAAAAGGCAAAAGATCTGAATGTCAGAAAGCTGATTGGAGAAGGTGATTCAAAGTTGGTTTTGGAAATTGGAGTGGTTGCAAAAGGAAGTTAAAGGTTTTTGGATCTTCAATAATGAAAAAAGAGATGAAAGTGGATGATTCAAGATATGGAAGTGCAGTTCAGCTGGGTTAAAAGGGCAGCAAATGGCTTTGCTGATGTTTTAGCAAAACAAGGGGTGGGGAGGAACCAGTTGTTTTGGGCTCTGCTGTAACAGTGTTTTTGTTTGTGGAGAGTTAAGATAGTTTACCTCTCCCTATCTTGTAATTTTTAACACTTCTAATGAAATTCTGTTATTGATAAAAAAATACAACTTAAAATGGATTGTTTGTTTTTTATATAATAATGAGTATCATAAACAAATATTATCCAGTTTGTTCCATTTTTAGCACATGTACTTGGATAAAGGTGTAAAAGGTTGGATGGTCGTGTTTTTCTTTCATGGCTTCCATATTTTGTTGTCTTATATGTTGTATTTATTTTTAGGCCTAATATTACAGTTGTGTAATATGCATGCCCTGTACTGTTTAATATATACATAATTTGCATTCTTGAAATTGAAGCATATTGTTTTAGGTCAAATTACATATCCATTTAACCATGCCTTTTGTTATTCATTTTGATTTCCATTTTATGTTCGTTTTGAAAGTGTCTCTTGCTCTATTCAAAGGAGAAAAGGGGTTACCCTGAAACTACATATTGCTACCATAGGATATGGATCAAATATTCCTTCCAATCTCTTGCTAGCTCATTTGGTCTTAGCTTTATATGTTGCACATTCTGACATTTTTATGAAAATTAATACTTTTTTGTAGATAGATGCTCATCGTTCACCATTGGCTGCAATTGTCCTTTCCTCAAATGGAATGTACATAGCAACAGCCTCTGAGCAGGGCACCATAATCAGAGTTCATATGGTTTCACAAGCAACCAAGGTGAGACATGCCTCATCATCCAATCTGTTAGTCTTAACCATTTATAATCTACCATACCTTCTAGATTGATAATATTGAGGGTTTCTTTTTTCTTGTAATCAAATATGAAGCTTACTGAAGTTATTTATATTCCTACATGCATTGAGGGGGTTGTGACCCATCATTTGATAGGTCCTACTTACAGTCTCTCCCCCAAATGTATGTGAGTGGGTTTGTTAATATCATCAATGTATGCTGTTCTTTTGGAACTTAGAAAGATTTTGCTAACAAATCAAGAAAAGTGTAGGGATTTGATAATTAAGATGGTGACTAAATCTGGTTTCAGTGACCTGTTAAATGGGTGCACAAGTATTGAAAGTGTTGTAGAGGTTTTATGTAGTTGCATCCGTGTGTTATTCCAGAAGCCAACATCCTGTATATGAAATTCTGGTTATAACTGATTGTTTCTCACATTTCTTTAAATCTTCAGGTATCTGCAGTATATGGAACCTAACTCTTCTTTCTGTAGCAGTCATATAGTTTCCGAAGAGGGATGTCCCCATCAACCATATACACATTGTCATTTGGTCCGTCAATGCACCTTCCAGACATTCTTGTTGCTACAAGCTCTTCTGGTTCTGTTCATGTTTTTCGTCTTGGATTTATCCTAAATCAAAGGTGAGAGATCTCTGTTACAGAGAAAATATCATCATTTTTTAATTGTGATGTTTTTTAAATCATCCTTGTTTATCTTGTAAATATTATCGAAACTGTTGTATATGTTGAGGCCATTGCCTCTTTTGGACTACTCATTTGTACATAAAGACACTCCACGTATGACTTGTACAAATTTGCTGTGTGGACAATTTTCTCTGTTGCTGCCCTCCATTTTAAGCCCTTATTTTCTTTCTGAATAGAGCATGCACCTTTTCCTATGATTGGCAATATGGTATCATCTTGTAGATTCTCTTCCCATAATTGTATTATTTTTTTGTTATCCTTTTTTAAGATTTCTTTCTTTCCATTACTTTTCTGAGAATAATTATGTTGATAGTTGACACTGAGAAAAGTGCCAAGACCAGTATGCAAAATATGTACATCTGATCAGTGTTTAATCATCTATACAAAAAAAAAAGACAGAAAGAGGAAATGCATCAAGAAGAGGATCAAAGATTATTTGTCCTACTTTCAAGGTGTAGGATATGGAAGCTCGTAAACTTCACCAAAATAGAATCTCAAAGATATCTTGTGCTGAAGATTTTGCCGATAGCTTAACTCGTGCATCTTTTTTTACCTTTATCAAATGCATGCCAATGTCACTCCTAAAAAGTCCTAGGAATTGCAAACCAGAGAGGTTCCCAATAGATACGACCACATGACTGAAATGACATGGACCGAGTTTTTGAGCCTTGAGGCTGCTGGTGCTGGATTTACTAGCCTTACCCTGGAGGCAGAATGTGATTACTCCCTATAAGTGAAAGGGACATCATAATCTAATGTGGAGCCAATTCTTTACCCTCTCTCCCTACATATGATTCATTCATTCTGGATTGAGGTTGTAGTAAACAAGATGTTTGACAGCTAGAAGCTACTTTTTTGTGGTATGCATGTACTCCTTAAGAAGTCAAGAACCATCCTGGTAACCAGCTTTCTCCTTCAATAAGGATAAGGTCATAGGATCTTGTTGTGAAAATCCCTCCTGTATAAAAAATTGCACAATTTCTTGCATAGAGATTGATGGAGTGGTCAACTACGATACCAAGATGTCTGTAGTCTGTACCAGTGTTTTAAAAGGTGTGGGAGGCATATGCCTGGAGGCGCACCTCCAGGCGAACGGCCCCCAAAACGCTGTGAGACGTATGCCAAAGGCGCTGATACCTCTGAGGCAGGTGTACGCCTCATATGCCTTTTTCATGAGGCGTGCTAGAGGCGTACACCTCAAATTAGGATTTCCCAAATTAAACTTTGAGGAAGCAGTTTTAGTAATCCAGGTAGATACTGGAGTTGGAGGAGTATTATGAAATGATAAGAGGATTGTACTCGGGCCCTATTGGAATAGGAGATTCCACTAGAGCTGAACCAAAGGCAGTGGTTTTTGAGATACAAAAATCTAAAGATTTGGGGGTGAGAAAGCTTGTTGTGGAAGGTGATTGCAAAGTGGTGATAAGATGGCTAAAGCAAGTTGAAAGAATACCCTGGCACTTCAGAAATGAAATCAAGAAATTGAAAAATCTATCCAAGGATATGCAGTTATTAAAACTCAGTGGTCTCTAAGAGCGGCTAATGGATTTGCAGATCAGCTAGAAAAACAAGGGGCTAACAGGGATCATTGTTTTTGGGCTCAGTTGTAAGGGTGAAAAACTAAAATTGAAAGTTGACATGGAAAGTTTTAGTGGGGTAGCTGAGGCTACTCAAAATCTGTATTCATAATTTGTACCTTTTCATCATATTAATGGAATTTTCTTTCACTGATAAAAAAAATCTTAGGTGGTAACTATAAGGCAGTGTTGCATAGACATGAATATGGGAATTGGAATCTGATGTGTGACCAAGTATCTGACTCAGCATAGTTGGGGACTCTACTAGGGAAGAATTACTAGCTGCCCTTCAAGGTGTACAGTTTGCAGTTCAGCTAGGTGTGGAACAGCTGTTGATTGAAGGGAACTCCAAGGTGGTAGTGGGTTGGCTACAGAACCCAGAGTCTGTATATGGTGCTTTAAGAATGAAGCTAAGAAATTCAAGTGGCTGATTTTCTAGCTAAGCAAGGGGCAAATAGGGAAAGGTTGTTTTGGGCACATTTGTACTTTGATCGGGATTCTTTTATCTATATTTTTCCTTGATCTAATAAAACAATTTGTTTGTCAGAAAAGTATCTGACTCAGCCTTATAAGAAAACATGGACTCACAGACACGTCCATGCCTCCATGGAATTGGAAAAGTATATGCTATTAAAATAAATCATACTTTTTTGAATTCCAACCAAGGTTCAAAGTAATGACACACTTGAGTATTGAGTGTGTAAAACATACGATATTCTTTATTTTCTGTCTGATATTTCGGGAATGGTGTTGTTAAAAGGTTTGCTAATGTCTAAACCCATAGAAACCTCCTAAATCTCTATATTATGCATTTTGGTGACCCTGAAAACTGATAGTATCATACTATATGGTATGATATGTGTGACATTTTGAACCTTGATTCTAACATTATATCAGTGTTTTAAAAGGTGTGGGAGGCGTATGCCTGGAGGCGCCTCCAGGCGAGGCGCTCCCAAAACGCCCTGAGGCATATGCCAGAGGCGCTGACACCTTTGAGGCGTACACTTCTTGCACTTTTTTCATGAGGCGTGCCAGAGGCGTACGCCTCGTGCACATCTTATATAAAAAGACAAAAAACAAAGAAAAAAGAAAAAAAAGGAAAGGAAAGGAAAAGAAAGGGAAGGGAAAGAAAAAGAAAGAGAAGAAAAAAAGAGAAAAGGAAAGGGAAGGGAAGAAAAGGTAAGGGGAAAGAAAGTGGTTTGCCCCCTTCCCCTTCGGCTGGGGGGCTTCGCCCCCCGCTCCGGCGAGCTTGCTTCGCTCGCTCGGCTCCGTTTCGACAATACCCCACCTTTCAATTAATGTTATGCATCTTTATTCTTCTTAATATAAAATATTTTTATTAAAAATAAAGAAAAAAATGAGATCCTCCCTTCCTCTTCATCCTCCTCCTAACCCCCCTCCTCTTAAGGAGGCTTATGCTTCCTTGTGTTCGGGAGGCTTACGCCTCTTGCATTATATACCTGGAAAAGTCGTTGCCTTTGTATATTAGTTGTTCATTTGTGGTACATAAGCTCAGAGATAAAAATGAAATGTCAAGTAACAGTTTTCTCAAGAATCTATGGAGTTTTGGATTCTGAAGTGTGTCCAACAGAGACTTCATTTTAGGATTGTCCATGCAACACTGTTTTAGAGATGAGGGAAAATGAAAAAAAATACTGCATTTCCCAGTCCTTTGCATTTCTTCTTGGTCTAGAAACCCAAATCACATTTTTATCCACCACCATAGTAATTACTAACACCTGTATCTTAAGCATTAATTAAATTATTTTTGACTTCTGTAATACTGGTCTCATGTCTTCTTCATTGTTTTATCTCTGAAGCAATTTTATCATCTTGTTTGGATGTACTCATATTTGTGTTAAGTTTTTGCACTATAATCTGATACCTTTTTTTTTTCTTTTTTCCACCTTTACCAGAAGTTTAAGATCAAGTAATCTTCTCGGATCACTGATACCTGACTCTATAAATGATGCTTTTGAAGCTGATCATCATCATGTGCTCCACAATGCAGTTCCAGCTGGAGTCAAAAGGTGAAGCAATTGTCACATCCAAAAAGATGATGTCTATGGTACTTGTAGGATAGTATTATCAATAGAAATATTAGTGGTGCATTTAGCAGGTTATATCTGCGGTTCTATTGTTATGGATGATCAGAAAAGAAATAGGTTATGGGTTTCAGATTGGGATTTCCAATCAGATTGATTTTTCATTTAGCAGATCCACTAATTTGACCATTGGTTCACCTTTCTTCCCATTATTCCCCATCTAGCCATCTGTGAAGTGTCCTGACATATACTCTTCAAGCCACTTAAATACGTTTTCTAACATTGTTTAGATATAAAAGAACACATTTGGTATATTTTCTTTTAGAACATTCATTCCTAACATTTGTTGGTATGTGCAGCTATGTTGTGATCCGCAGTGTGGACAAAGTTGTCAGCACTTCTATAACCCAGTCCCAGGCTTCCACTTCTAGGTGAGTTGTATGGCTTTTGTTCCCCATCTTTGAAGGGAATGCTGTATACATTGGGTTACAACTATGTCTGCAGGTTTTATGTATGTAGCTTTGGATTGCAATATTTTGTTCTCAAGACAAACATATTACTATCAATTTGTTCCAAATTGCTTGAACTGGACGTTCCAATAAAATGCTAATTAGATAAGGACATATATGCTTGCCCTAGATACAGGGCTTGTCTTTGCTCCTGGATAGTTTCTACAAGTTTTTGGAAAGGTAGCTTAAGCATGGTATATGTATCACATAACCTTACATGGTGAAAACAAAATATGCTTATATACTCTTTCTTATCAAAATTACACTAATATTGGTGGAAATTTGCATGAAATCCACAGCCATAATCTGTTAATGACCACTCTGTGGCTGTGGTGCCAAAATACTGTTTGGGTATCCACAAACATCCAGCATCCCTGAAAGTTCACATGGTTTTTTTATAATAAGTCAAAATAGAATATCATTTATAATATTGTAAAAGAATATCACTTAAATAAAAACAGATAGTACAATAAAGGGGCAATGAGATAGTACCCCATCACAAAGAGCTACAAACTTGACTAACAAAGAAAAGCAGTAGAAATTTTTAATTTTTAACCAGAACAACAAAGAAAAAAAGCAGAAACCCTCTGCTGCTAATACAAGATATCCATCTAGAGAATCAATCCAAATTGAAGTAGACCAAAATCTGGAACCCAAGGAAGCTCTAGAAGCATCTGATGATTCTGGAAGGACCAAAACCCAATCCATGTTATTATACCAATATCAGCACATATTGTTTCAGCATTTTTTTTCGTTTTCTCTGTTTGAGTGGTTTTATATTCTTAAGTGTACTCTGTGTAATCTAGCTAGGGTATACTTGTAATTTTACTTCGCTTTATGACACCCTAATTTATAAGTTGAGTATAAAACTTGCCATTCGTGGCTCTACCATGGTTACAACCTCCCCTTGTATCACTACCTCCACAACTACTAACACCACAACCTCCATGGAAATCACCACCATTGCCTTGATCGTTACTTTCAGAAACTGCTAAAGCAGAAAAGTTAGGTACAGTAGTATGTGACTAATAATCCCAGTATCTGAAGTCAACAAAATATCCTCACTGGAGGATAATTCAGTGCTGCCAAGAATCTGAGAGATCAGTTTTTTAACCTTTATGCCTTTCTCATCTCTGTAAAGTGAACTTTTGTCAAATTTTGTTTACTCCTACAACATTAGGTAATGGGTTTGAGTGGAACCTTGGGTTTAGAAGGGGTATAAGGGATTCAGTGCTTTCCATTGTGATGAGCCTGTTGCAAATCCTTGGAAACATCTTTTTTTGGATCACCTCAAGACTGATAATTGCATTTGGATTCATTCTCCTTTTGGCTCTTTCATGTTTGCCTTTTTTTTCAGGGTATTAACCTCTTCCACTAGTCCTCTTCTAGCCCTTCCCCGTGAAGGAAATTTGGTTTAAGCCAATACCACCTAAGATTGGAGCTTTTTGTTGAGAGATATTTCATTACTTCAGATTTGCTATAAAAAAGGAGGCCTAATAGGTGTTTATGTCCCGACTGGTGTTCCCTTTGCTAAGCTAATGGTGAGTCTTGCTATCAGTTACCAATCTCCTATCCATTTGTTTTCTTGTGTTTGGGAATGGTGAGTCATCCCATTAAGTATGACAAGTTCATCCTCACCTTTAACATTGGCGTGGCTGAAGAAGAGGGGAAGAACGAGGCAATGTACAAGGGCTGCTATTATTTGGACATTATGGGAACAAAGAAATGCAAGAATGTTTAAAGAGCAAGAAAGGTTGCAGGGTGGCTCATTGGGTGAACTCTTTAGAAATATTTTCACTCCTCTCATCAAATGAAGTAACAAGGAAATGGTAGGAATGACTACAAAAAAGATAGTGCGACATAAAAGATGGACATCACCAGAAAATGGATTCATAAAACTCAATTTTGATGGGATCAGTACTAGGGATTTGAGGCCTTAAGGAGTGGGAACCTTGGAGGTGTCTTTAGAAATGGGGAAGGGAATATTGTTGCACTCTTTTCAGGTCCCATTAGAAAGGGAATTCAGCAGGCAAGCAAATTAAATGTGAAAAAAAATAATCATTGAAGGGGTCTCTATAGTCATCGAAAGCTGGATTTTTTAAAAGAAGAAAGTCATTTTGGCATATAGGAATGAAATTAAGAAGTCCAAATGTTAATAAAAGACATGGGGATTAAAATCAGTTCCTGTACAAAGGTCAGCTAATGCTTTGGTTGATACCCTATCCAAACAAGGGGTGGGGAGGGATTATTTGTATTAGCTTCAGTTGTAATTTAAGAATAGGGGGATACTTGTAATTCTGTAATAAAATTCAGTTACCAATCAAAAAAGAAAAGAATGACTTATACCCAGATTTAATCCTTGACAAGAACTTTGCAACATAAAATCATTTCTTTGTCTCTTTCAATTGCTCTGATGAATCACCCTAAGCTCCAATAAATATGTGGCTAGATCCTTCTCTAGCATTGCTTGATCTGAAAACCTTAGTCCTCACCCCAAACTTTGTGAGAACCATTTGATGGAACTGTTACACCAGAATAGGTCATCAAATATATCCAAGAATAACAAAACTAGTCATCTATTATTTATCACAAAAACGAGAGTAGTCATCCATGAACAAAAGAAAATAACGGTAGCCATCCATGGAACAAATATGATATGGCTCCCATACATCAATGTAAACAATATCAAATGCAGAAGAACTTTTCCAATTGACAACTTTCACACTCTAGACTAGACTGAACATACTGAAACAAATACCTCACATTCATATACACCTGCTTTTTGGTTAGATTCAGCAACTTCCTGCTTATTCCTATACTTTGCTTTTGTTGCTGTCTTTTGGACTCAATCCCAAATACCTCACATTCATTTAAAAGAAGGCTCCTTTCTAGATTGTCAGGATTTTAGAAAATATTTTCTTCTCTTCGAATTGAAGGACTATAATTATGTTATGAATCTGGATCAATAACGGTATGGTAGTTTATATGATAACCACTTAACAAATTTTTGGCTATCGAACTTGTTTCTGAATAGTTGAATCCTTCCACACAATGGGCATTTTTGTCTGTAAGAAGTAAAAATTCTAACCTGTACATCATTTACCATGTAAAATCTATTATTATCCTGTTTGAATTCCCATACTCTTGATTAAATATAGAGAAGGAAATGCTCTGAAATTATCAGGTTTATATAGTTAACAATGCCATAGGGCCTTCCTAGCTCCAGTACTGCACTGGTAGTGGGTTAGGATCATCTAACATCATGCATAATATGGACCTCCTGCCAAAAGTTGACCTTTTTTTCCACCTAAAAGGTCTTCTCTGTGGTCCGTTGTGCACCTAGTATCATCGCTGTTGTCTTGTCTTGTGTTGGTTCTTGGATTGGGGTTTAGAAATGATATTCACATGTCATGTGAGCAAAATCTATCATTCTCCATTAGGAAATTATTCTTCTATTCAGTAGTTCGTCTGTTGCTCACACGTTCATAGGCTTTTGGTTTTATTGATGAATGAGTTATTGCTTCTTTGATTGCAGAGCTTGTATTTCCATTATCACATACAACGGCTACTTTCAGGAGTACAGTTTAAGTATCAATGATACAAATGAAGCTTCGTGGGGTTTGGAGCGTGAATTTAATCTGTTAACAGCAATTCCTGATAAATTAACCGATGCTTGATATTATTATGATGAACTTTCTCCGACTCTCTTCATCCTGTTGAAGTGCATGAAGAACTGTGAATATGTGTAAGATTCAAGAAATATTCTTAGTAATTATCCTAGCTTATCTGTACCGTTCATTATGTATCCAAGTTGATTCTAGCAAGAAAAATGGTATATTGCAAGAAGTGCACCCCCCCATGATCAATTGGTTAAAACCAGCAGGAAATGTAGATTGCTTTCTGACATCAAGCTATGGAAGAATGAAATAGGTATTATTACCATTTGTTTTGTATATTGATCTAAGCTCAAGGCTATAGTTTGGCTGTGTATTCAATTTAGTGGTTGTGTTATATATATTGTAAAAGGCCTTAAGCCTCCATGGAAGGAAAAACAGAAATTGGAAGACAATTGATTGTGTATGGACTCTTTGTTTAATCTTTCACTACTTGGGGGTGTTCATCAATATTTATGATTTTATTTTTAATGCAAAAATAATTACTATGTCGTTTCCACTGATATAGCAATTGTTTCCTTTTAAAAAAAATCATACATACTGGTAAACAACCCTTGGCTTGCTGTTAGTCGTTGTTTCTGTTTTCCCTTCTTTTAACAAGTTAGCAACTTTTATTGCTCTGTTCTCTTCAGTTCTAGTGGAAAATATTTACCCAGGGTCACAGTCATTCAAAACCGACGAACTGATCATGGGGCGTATGATTCTCTATTACTTTCTGTTCCCCTGAATCCAAACAGAGCTTTACAGTGTATTCATATGAGAACTTCTGTATCCACGTTGGACAGCCTGTGCTGTCTACAGGCTCTCTCCAAGTGACACGCATATTTTAAATAACAAAACATTAAAAGTACCTAATAATTATCATTATGTAATAGTTTTGAAATAAATAAAATTTAAATTACGAAAAATTTTAACATTTAAATCACTAATATTTGAAATAAAGAAATATTTAACATAACTAAATTTTAAATATATTAAATAACATAATTATGTCATAAATTTTAAAAATCTTAATATGATGTGAATTAATCATAACTTCACATTTAACAAAATTAACAAAGAAATTATTTAAATAACTAAATTGTAAATTTTGAAATATTTAGAAATTTAATAACTAAATAATATTTAAATAACAAAAAATAGATTAAATAATGAAATTATGTAATAACTTTAAAAACTGTATTTAAACCACAAAAATAATTATTATATATTTAATAATATTTGATAATAAGAATATAAAATATAAATACTTTAAATTTTTTTAAATATTATTGAAGTAATGAAAAATATAATAAACAAATTTTAGTAATTATTTATTGTATTTTTATGATAAATACATTTTCAATAATCTCAACTCATTTCCTTCTGTTAATACTTTAATATCCAAAGGCCTTGCACAATTTCCTTTAAATGTAGTTGTGCCTACAGTTCCAACAGATCTAACTACCAGGTAAACCCATTAAATTTAGATCCATAATTTCATCCTGGAATTAGTTGAGACTTCATGGTGATCTTTGTTTCAGACCCGTACTACATGTGGTTTTTTAGTGTCGAAAAAATGAAAGAGGAGAGGAATAGGGGTGTTGATGAAGACTAAAGCCACTCTCTTATTGTCGAGTTGGGGCGAATTGGGGAAGAAGATAAATGGTTCTTTACTTTTTCCTTTTGACTAACTTTTTCATGTTTTTTTTGTATTAAGCAAGGGCCTCATAGTAAAGTTACATTTACTTTCATAGATAAAATTTATCCATCTTCTGGGTGGATAAGGAGAAACTTTTACAAAACATGATAAGACCATCTTGCCCATTTTAATATTTATCTTTTATAAATAGAAATGTCATTTTGTTATTTACCTGTGAATCTGGAAAATCGAAAAAACATGGATAAATGCACTGTTACAAATGAAGGAGGCCTAAGTTCCAAAAAATTATATTTTTGGCACATGTGACGGGTTCTGGTGCAAATTATAACGTGTTTCAATTTGATTGGTAGTGCACCCCACACACAAATCGAGTGCATGATATCCGGATTGTTGTGCGGAGAGAGAGAGAAAGAGATTGGAGTTCCCATGTGTACAAATACGGTATTGGTTTTTCATGTATATAGCAGTGCATAGTTCATGGAGATGGAGATCAGATGGGAACCAAGTGAAATGCAATTTATTTAGCGTGAGGTGAATAACACTAGAAAATCACCTCAACCGTATATATTTCTTCTTTATTTCATTTTCTGGCCTCAAACGCTGTTCTTGATAGAAGAACTATAACCGTTATCATAAAATTTAGACCACAGCATCACCCCTCCATACTTTGGGGAAGACCTGATTGAGGGAAGCACCTGAGACACCAGCGTAGCTGCCGGAATGAAGCCTCCGCCGGCCGCATTCGGAGAAGCAGGAAGTCCCAAGAAGATCTTACCAGCTCGAATAGAAGTCCACTGATTCCATGCACGTATGAGATTGTTGGCATTTCCAGAGTATTGACACGGGGGGTTGTTGTAGAACTGGACCCAGACATAATCGAAGAGGCCAGTGTTAAGGGCACCACCCAACCGAGCATCTGGAAAGGGGCACTGTGGAGCTGCACTCAAGTAAACCTTCCTTTGCCTGCTAAACCCATTGAGGCTCGTAGCAAGCACGTCCCAGTACTGAGTTCCACCACCTTCAATGTCGAAATCTATGCCATCTAAAACGGCACCGCCCAATGGACGGGAATTCGATTGTCCCCCTAAGAAGTTGTTCCAGAGGTAGTTGGCAACCTTCCGGGCATCTTCCGGCGAGGTAAGAGTGTAACTTCCGACGCCTCCTCCGAGGGAAAGCAGTACTTTGATGCCTCGACTCTGGCAAGCTCTTATATCATTGCTTAATCCGGTACAGCCGTTAATGCTTGGGTTACAATGGCCAGCTAAGTTCAGCTGGGGAGTCTGGCCATTGCCGAAGGTAACCAGGAAAGCTATGTTGACAAACTGATAGTTGCCTGTTGCACAAGTGTTGGCCAGGGTTCCCTCGCCTGAGTTTTGGCCCCAGTAGACGGCAATTCCTCCGGCTTGGGACCCTGCAACTAGAGCAAATAGGAAGAGAGAGAGCAATGGTAGTGATGATACTGCCATGTTTAGCTTCTGGGGTGAGTTCTAGCGAAGGTAGGTGCAGCCTTTTATAGGCGTAGAAGATATCTGTCGGGCTGCCAAGGTCCACACGGCTGTGGAAGAAATTGCAGTAGTCGCTTCTTCACGCTTGACTCTTGGGGAGCAACTAATCGAGCCATGGAGCATTAAAGAAGTCCAAGTGTTCACATTTCCATTAGACAATAGGAGATGATGATTGATACAGTTTTGTAGATAAAATTTCTCAAGTGCAAATGGGATTACGACAAATAAAGACAATGACCAAAGAAGAAAACAAATGACTTGATATATACATCCAAATGTAACTCTAGAGGAGACTTTAGTGCGATGCAAATATTCGTTGGTGTAAGTCTTCCACTTCAACATTCTAGAATGAAAAAGTAGTCCAAATTGTACACGCCATTAATTTATTTGTAGCTCATCTCCTCCCCTGAGATTGTACATGGATATTTGTGTATTTTGCCTTGGGGAAAAATAATATAAAGGTTCCTAATAGGTATATAACAGTTAGTTTGAAATACATTTGGTAAAGTGATAAATTAACTTTGCAAAAAACTAAAATGCCCCTCTCAACAACTATAAATGATTAGTTCAAAAGGGTATTTTGGTTAATTAAATAATATCCTCATATAAATACCCTTACCCTCATTCTTATCACAACAATGGTCATACTATGGCATACACTCTCATATTCTCTTAGTTTCTTACTCCCTAGTCCTTAATTCTTAAATTTATTTCAAGTTTCAACAAGGAGGCTGGATCAAGTGTCTCAAGTTAACAATTTAGAAGACTTAGAAACTTCATTAGTTGAGATCAAGTTGGGATGCTAAGTCAGTAGATTGGGTAAGTAGTAGTTAGTTTTCATTTTTTTTTCTAATTTTAAGGTTTTAATATTTCACATTTATTAAAATGGTTAGTTCTTCTCAAACTCCCTTTTCCTATGTTTTTGATGAGGTTCAATCACAAAATGATAGCATCAATATTGGTGCTAGTGATACTACAGATGAAGGTTCTCCTAGTGTACTAGGAGAGGCAAGAAAATACTAGTGAAGTTTGGAAAATGTTATTGTAGAAGTTAAGAGAAAGGGAATGAGAGTAGTTTGCCAAAAATGTAAAAGTGATTTTAGCTATCAGAGCAAAAGATGGCACCATCCATTTTGGTAGACACATGACATGACATTTGAGAAAAACTGATGAAGCAAATAAAACACAAATTGCACGTATTTTTTTGGTAATGTTCAATATTTACAAGAAAAAGTTGAGACAAGAATTAGTAAAATATATTGTACATACAAAACAACCATTTTTTATGTTTTGAAGATCCTAAGCCAAAAATATTTTTACATCAATTTGTAAATCCTCAATTTAAAAAAGTTTCTATAAATCCTAGGCCAAAAAGTTTCTATAAGTACTTTAAAAATGGAAACTATAAAATTATTTTATTCAAATAAATAAAATTTAATTTCTACTTTGTCAAATCTTAATTCTAAAATTACACTTACTTCTGATATTTGGACTTTCAAATATAGTATTAGTTATATTTGTTTCACTAGGCATTTTATTGATGAATCATGGCTTTTGCAAAAAAATAATTTTAAGTTTTACAAGACTTAATGGCCACATACTATCTCCATAATTGTTTTAAGTATTTTAAATACTTTACATATTTATTGTATTGAAAATAATTTTTTTTATATTAATTTTGATAAAGGTAGTAATAATGAATATACTATGAATATTTTAAAATCTCAATTAAAACTATTGTTAAATAAAAAATTATTTCATATTATATGTGCATGCCTTATTTTAAATTTCTGTATACATGAATCTTTAAATATTATTTCACCACACATTTCTAAAATTAGAAAGTCTTACGCATATTAGAATTTTTGGTACAAGAAAATAAGAATTTAATTATATGAGAAAAAAATTTAAAACACTTGTATTAGATGTTCAACATAGGTGGAATTTCACATTTTATTTATTAAACAGTTGCATCTCATTATATTAGTTAATGATAAAGTGCCCCATTACTTTATAATTAATGATTATTATAAAGCTGCAATTTGTATAAAAGATTTTTTACAACATTTTTATCATGCAACTAATTTATTTTTGGGTGTTTATATTAGTTAATCAATTTCATAGAATTATTAAATAACTTGTAACATATAGAAATGATCCAAAATTTAAAAATATTGTTGATGTAATGGAAATTAAATTTAAAAAAATATTGGAAAAGTATTCCTCCTTTGTATTGTTTATCTATAATATTAGATCATCGTATTAAAAAAGATATTAGTGTAGATGTTTTACTTAAATCTTATCATGAAATGTGCAAAGTGAAATTAGATTAATTAAAAAAAATGAAGTTAATAATTTATTATTTGAAATGTATAATTCAAATGAATTATTGTGAAATGGAAGAACTTGTACAAACATATCATCTTAAAGTATTTGTGGTGGTAGTGCAATATATAAAATTAGCAAAAAACAAATAACAATCAATGGGTTTTAGGGAAACTCAAAACCATGACATCTTCATTAAGTGAATTGAAGTAAGAGAACCATGACATCTTCAAGCATGCCAAGCCAATCATTGTCTAACCCTACCATAACTTTATTAGTATTTTTTTCTATAAATTTTTAAATGTGATTTAAATTAGTGAAAAAAACATTTGTAATAATTTATATTATTTTATATCATGTTTATTTATTTTTATAATTTCTTTAATTTTATAATTGTTAGATAGTTTTATATTAATTTTAAATGGATATTCATGGATATCCAATTTTTATTTATTATTTTTTAATTTTCACTTTTTTTATTTATTTCAAAAGAATTATTTTTATTGATTTAAAATTTATATTAGTAAAAAAATCATATTTTTATTTTTATTTCTTAGTGTATCAAATTTTAGTATATTTAAAAGTATAATATTTTATCAATAAAACAATTAATAATTATTTCATACTATAGTTAAATAATTTGTTTAATTATATGTAATTAATTTTTATTATTATTAAATGAAATGAAAATATATTATAAATATTTAATATTATGTTGGACTATTGTACAATGAACCGCTCTACCGTTGGAAACAACTCCAAATTTGGACTTTTCATTCACAACATACTAACAGTTATGATTCTCTTTGTTGCAGGCTTGTCGTAATCTGACCATTGATCTTATTCGGACCTATCCTATTCCTGGCCAACCGAAAATCTGAAACCTTGGTCTTGAAGTTATGATCCAGTAGAATGCTACTAGATTTGAAATTCTGGTGGTGGATAACAGCAGCTGGGGCTGCATGCTCATGGAGGAACTTAAGAGCTCTAGCTTACTCAAACTCAACTCTGATTTGATGACTGGTGATTAACTTGTTACTTGTTTCAGTTACAATAGCGAGGTAGAGGGGACAAAAGAAGGGAGAAGGATAGAAAGAAAGAAGGAGAGAAAGAATGATAGGGGTAGAAATAAAGAATGAAGCACTGGCGAACTGATATGGCTCCCCCCTTGTTCACTTACTGCAGAGAGATGGTAGTGAGAGAGAGAGAGAGAGAGAGAGGAAGGAGGATGAGAGAAGAAAGAGAAGGGGAAGAGAGAGTAGGAAAGGAGAAAAAAACACTCAAGGAACCTCGTTACACTGGTGGGATTGGTCATAGGATCCGCTTCGCACATTGCATTAATGTTCCAAGGTAAAATGTTGAAGTATTTTGTATTTTATGATGGGTTAAAAAATACTTGTCAAGGGTAAATATGATATTTAAAATGTAAATGCATTAATTACGTGTCAATTTTCCCTTATGAAAAGTCAACAAAAGGGAGGGATATATACATTTTTTTCAAACTACATACACTACAAAGGAGGTTTATATGTTTGTCAGAAAACTTGGGGAATTTTTTTTTTTTTTTATATATATATATATATATATATATATATTACCAAAAAAATAAGTGATTTTCCGATAACAACCATAAAAAGTAAATAATTTTTTGCTACACCAAGGAATTTGCGAAAGAAAACTTCATTTTCCATTCGGTGTGCCTGACAAAGAGCAAATTTCGCGCTCCATACTTGGTCGTCGGAGCAGATTAGAAGGGACGTACGACCTTGTCAAAGACGGATCGATGATTGATTGATCGGTAATTCCGTGAAAATAGGTAAAAAAACGCATGATTTTCTGACCAGTCAGGTTCATCGGGTTAATTGGATGATATATTTAAGGGGAAGAGAGAAGATGGGGAAAAATCGTCACCCTCCCTCTAGTGTGGCCGGTTAGAGCACCCCTTCAGACAACGTAACTCAGGAGAGCCTGATATCAGTTTTTGAGTAATATCACTCTCTGATATCACATCCGAGCACGTCTCTCCTCTCCTTGAGTTAATAAATTTGAAGGGGGCTCTTCAATCGGCCATTTCTTTCTCTCAACGCTTTTTTTCTCTGATTCCTCAGACTCACTCTCAGGTATTCAGCGGCTTCATTTGTATCTTTCTGTCGCCTTGAATCCTTGTTCTATTCTCCCACCGAATAAACTCGAACTTAACCTGTCCGATCCGCTTCAAACTCGCAACCAAGAAATCATGGCTAAACTCACTAGACAACCGGCCAGCAGAATACGGTTCAGCGAGTTAGCCGGCGAGACGGCAGCAGAATGCATGGCGGTATGCTGCTGCTTCCCGTGTGGTGTGGTGGACATGTTGGTCCTGGCAGTGTACAGGGTACCGGCCGGTCTCTGCCGGAAAGCGATGAAGAAGAGAAGCCAACAAAGAAAGAAAGGGAGTCCGTTATCTCAGCAGCAGGTTTTCCCCTATGGGTGCGACGAAGCAGAGTTTGAGATACATATAGTGTCACAAATGGAATTGGATGAAATTGCAAAGACCAAGGAGGTTATTGAGCTGGATAAGGAGATGTGGGACAGGTTCTACGAGACTGGGTTCTGGAGGAGTCTTTCTCGTCTCGAGCGGGAGTAGCGACCAACGGTTATAACCGTCAGAAAACCGTTCAGAAAAGAAGAGAGAGAAACTCTTTCGGTGATGTATAGAGACCCAGAAGTACTTAATTTACTTCTTGCTTCTTCTTTTTCTTTTTTTTTTTTTCTTTTTACATTTTTTTAATTAAATTAAATGGGAGATGTGTGAGCAACGCTGTTTGTGTGCACATCCGTTTTTCTTTTCTTTTTTTCCTTCTAGCATTCCAAAAAGGCTTATTTTGACAATAAAGAGCAATGTAATTATGTAGAAAAAATATTACATTTGATGCGTTTCTAGCATTGCATGCAAGAGCCTCGTTTCTAGCAAAACACGTTACATATGATGTTGCCACTCGTTGTATTCGGTTGGTTAAATGATCTAAAACACAAATCATATTTTGTTTTAATTACTAAACCAATTATTTATTTTATTTATTTATTTTTTGCTTTTATATGCTGTAAATATGTCAACTTAGTCTTTAATTCTTAGATATTTTACAAATATATAATACTTTTTTATAAATAATAAGTATGTCATTAATTATTGTAAATTAAAAGGTTAATTAATAATTAATAGAAATATACAATATATCTTAGTTTAAAAACATACCAAATTTATTATAGCTTTTAAGATGCATATCAAATGTAATTTCATAAATTATAAATACTAAATTAATTATTCAATTTTTATTATTTTATTTATGTAAATTATCAAAAATTAAAAACATTTGTTTGACATAAATATAAACCAATAGATTTGATAGATCATATCATTTATCATTAATATTTATAAAATACTAATTTTAATGATCAATTACTACTTTTTAATTTTCTTGTTGCACATTCATATATAAAACTATTTATTTGAATCATAAGTGTGGTTCTTAATTTAAATAAATATTTTATTATCTTTAACATATCATTGAAGGATGGCTTAATGGTAAGTGGCCAAGCCTTTGGAATTGAAGACCTAGGTTTGAATTTTGCTAATAGCATTGCCTTTTAAATCTACTTCTAACTACACATCGTTAGTGATGAAAAAGATTAAATGGTAAAATTTTAAGGGTATGACCATGATACCAGAAAGACATGGTATTTGGCAAAAATCATAACCAATCAACCAGCATCCCAAAAGTGGTAACCAATCAAATGGGTTTTGTGTGCAATTTGTAGTGATCAATAGGGACAGATACAAATTGTAATTACATGCATATGTATTAGTCTATATTTCTTCTTTTGTATTGTTTAGCTGCAGCATTAGACCTTAGGATTTGAAAAAAAAAGTGTAGATATTTTTCAAGAATCTTATGATGAAAACATGCAATTTGATATTGGTTAAAAAAAGATTAAGTTAATTCTTTATTATTATATATATATATATAATAAATTACAAACATTAGGATAGAAGAACTTGTGTAGACATACCATCTGAAAGTACTAGTCGTGTGGTGGTATTATAATAGATAAAATTTGATAATTAATAAGAAAAAGTAGGCGACATTCAGTTGTCTCCTCTTCATTTTTATTTGTAAGCTAATTTACAAATTCTTTAACATCTAAACACTTAAATAAATTTGATATTTTAACCAAATAGAAAGAACATGGAAAAATATTATCCTGTTATTAATTATCATCATGGCATGTGATATGCTATCACTAGATTTCTTGTTCATAATTCCACCTTAGTCTTATTTTAGTGTAAATTAAGGTGTTGAATGAGAAAAGAAGTTGGATAAATGATGAAAGTCTAGAGGTGCACATATGCACAAAGAATTGGTTAGATGCAAAGGACAAACTACAAGATAAAGAAAGACATGACACTTCATTGATGAATCAGGAGATAATGCAGATCAAGGAGATACAGGTAGAACTAGAAGAAAAGATTGAAGCCATATTTTTTTGAATATTCAATAATTATACAATATTTTTAATACTATTCAATTTTATTTAAAAGTTTTTTGTTATCTTTTTCAAATCCCGTTATAAACATTTATTTTCAATTTTATTATATTATTTTATTCCAATTCTATTGTATTTTTTTTTCAATTCAGCTTTTTTTTTATATTTGATCAACTTTGCATATTAAATTTCTAAACAAAACTTTTACATTTCTTTGTTAATTTTTTATTATTTATTTTATTTTTCACTTAACAAAAGAAACAAAAATGGGAGAATGATGATTCAGCCCAGCATCATAATTCTTAGGCCCAACGTACAGTTGGGATAGGTGCCAAATTGGAATTGATACCAATTTATGGGTGAGCATTGGTGTATAGGATAGGGGTATTTGACATTTTGAATTTTTATTGATTTGTAATGAAATTCAAAATTCTGCATTAAGCTACAACGTATTTCTTCGAAAAAAAGTGAAAAAAACAGGAGTCCTGGGCCTGCTGCGGGGTCTAGGCATGGTATCTGTAAGCACGCATCGTTGAATCGCTTGATATAGTTCCGGATGGACTCCCCTTCCTTCTGGACTATCTCCTCAGTATCGGGGGCACCGTTTGCTGGTGACGAAGTGCGCGGTGAAGACCTACACGAACTGGGCCCAGTTTCTTACTGATCTGGGGGCTAGGTTCCTATACCAGGTGCGGGCCACTCCTCTGAAGGTGGTAGTGAAGGCCACACACATGCAGGACTCGTTGGCCATCGCCAGCTGCATCTAGGACTGAAAAGCATCAACATGGTCACTCGGGTCAAAGGAACCATCGTATTTGTCTAGCGGGGGGAGTTTGGAATCCTTGGGCATGGGGACAGTGAGGAGTTCCGATGATAGGGGGGAAGGGATTGAGAGGATAGGAGTAACCTTTACTTCGTCCGAGCTCGCTTCCTCTTTACCTCTGAGCTCGGGTAGGACGTGGGTGGTAGTTCGGCAAGCTCGTCGGCTGAGGGACTCCGTCCACCTAGAGGGGGATGGTGAATTGCCCGATGCAGACAGTGGGGGGCTGAGGGTGTTCCCTGACRGCATTCAGGTCGGCGTTATGTCTATCACTGTCGAAGGAAGCCATGAATGCTAAGTTTCCTTTTTTTTAGGAAAGAGCAGAGGTTGGGGGAGGCTTTTGAAGCGTTTCCCACAGACGGCGCCAAATGATG